CGTAATCCCTTTTACAAAGCTGAGTTTTTTCTCTGACAAGAAGGAGGTGCAGCGATCTTCAACTGCCTTGGGATATGTAGCTCACGTTCGTTCTTCTCTTTGTTACCACCATAATTTTATCAACTCATTCAAAAATCTCTTTTGTCGAATCTGGAACTTCTATATATCTTCTGAATCAGAGGAGAATTGTGTCCTTTCTATTGCATTAAGTAATTTTCAACTGCATTAATTATCGAGTTAATATTTCTTATTCATGATTGATGGTTTTTGTGCAGGCTGTTTCACTTGTTGCTTCTTACTTGCAAGTTCCATTGCGATATCCATTACGTTTAGGAGGTTCTCGGTCATATATATGCGACTATGCACCTTCAGTTGAGCTATCGACATCCAGTTCAAATTTAGATTCATTAATTTCAACAAGCTCGAAGCCGGTAGAATTTCCACTCTTTATCGAAGGTCAAGACTCAACAAGAGCAGCTTATGCTGTATTCTTGCTAAACAAGGTGTGTATCATTTTTGGATTGTTGAGCGAGTCATATGATACTTCAACAAAAGTAGTTGATATTTAGTGCATTATAACTATTACAAGCAATATAACACAGACATAATTGTGCATGCAATGTCATGGGACCAGTCATTTTAAACTTTTCTGTGTTCTTAATTTAAGTCTTCTCCCTTATTTTTTCGTTTGCACCTGACTGTAGATACTTATAATGACTCATATATCTAAATATTTTTCCAATATGTTAAGTAATGCAAAGATGGCTTAGAAATTTAGTTTTCATTACTCAGGATGTCTATCTTTTGGAACTTACTTGTAATTAGATTGATATGGTCACTTAAATTACAGGCGATATTAGAAAATTTAACTGGTAACTTCCCCGTGACAGAAACTATATAACAATGCTCTGAGAGGTAAGTTTATATTTGCATCGCTGGACTAACACATTCCAAATAAGAGCGCTTATACTTCTGTGGCAACTGCTTATATCACTCCATTCGTCTTAATAGTCCAATACATACAAGGACTCTGATAATCAAGTCGAGTGTGAAAATTAACAATCCCTTGTTCATGGCAGATTTGGTTTATGAAACCGTCAAGCTTAGTTATATTAAAAAGTCTATTCACGCTGTGTCCATCTTGCATTATTTTCTTAAACAAATGAACCTAAAATAAGTTTGTTGGAAGATATAATAAGGTCCTAGTCTTTGTTTCTGTTTTAGATTGTGCATTGTAATGTCGAATGAGGAATTTAAGTTAATCTTTGTCATTGAATGCTCTTATGGTTAATCTATGTATGTGCTTGCAGGATTTAGAGCAGCTTTTGAATTTTATTGGTGTCAAGAGCTTAGGACCGCGGCATGTATTAGCTAATTTAAAGGAGCTTTTAAGGACTATTCTTTCTCCAGATTATATTGATACGTGATTTGAACTGCTAGAATCGAATGTATGTTTCTGTAAATGGATTATTTATTGTATTCTTAAAGAGGTGCCTATTTTTTTCGGCATCTTTGTCCAATCTTTCCAGAATGATGTCAATCGTAACAGATATAGTGAATATATCATCTGGTCTGGTTTGTATACATTACCATGTGTTGATTTGATTTACTGATTTCATGGGCAGTTGGAAACTCAAACATGAAACTTTCTCCAATGATTTTATTCAACTTTCAAAAGAATTATGATTGTCTTGATAATTCTTATAGAGTACAAATTTGTCATTCAGTTTTTTTGTGTTTTATGGTATCTTAGATTTTCTTGAAAAACGATACTATCAGTGAGCAAGGTTTAATTTAGTTTTGCCATTAGATTGTAGATGTGTGAAAAGTGTTTGGTAGCCTAGTAGTATAAGCTGATTAATGTCTTTTTTTTTTTTTTTCTTTTCTTTTTCCAAAAGTCACAGATTAGCAGTCCCAATCCCAATCGCCACGTCTAGGGTTTTGAAAATAGGATTGTCTGTGTAGCTTATTCTAATCCTGCTGACTTTAATTAAATTGGATAGATATTCAATGGGTCTAATTTGATTAATAAGAGTCAATATGATTGGTTGAATATTTGTATTCGAAAATAAGTAAGTTTTTTAAATGTACATAATGTTTTATTGATTTAAGTATTATTAATATGTTACTAGTTTTACAATACATAATTTAATATTTCATTCGTGATTGATTTAAGTATTATTAATATGTTACTAGTTTTACAAGACATAATTTAATATTTCATTCGTGATTCGATTTTATGTATATTGCCCTAATAATTTCAACTAACTTTGATAAATTAACATCAATATTAAGGTTTTCCCAATGAGATCTGGTACATCATTTGAAGGTTAAATGCATCAAATCCTTTTTATGTTGGAGCTCGGTGGATAATGAATAAAGTTTTAATACACTAACTAATTTGAACAATTATGTAACATGAACAAACTTAATGCATATAAAATTTGTGTGTATTTTGGAAGTTGAGATTTTATTGGGTTAAAATAAATTCAAATCTAACAAAAGATCGATAAGATCCAATTGACTTGGAAATTCCATAGTTGGCCAAGATCTAATTCACTCGAAAACTTCATCGTGAACAAAATCTAGGTACAATCTGAATTCAACATGATATAAATGAAGTTGGAACCAAAATTTGGGATGATTCAATGCAAAATTGACCCGTTGACAACCCTAATTGAAAAAGATAATCCAACTCTAGTTCGGCTTAGTCATTTAATAAGTACCATTTGAATTGAGTTTTGTGATTTTAAGAAGTCGAGATTTGTTTTAGATTGAGTCTGATGGGGGAGTAAGTCATGGGTGTCAAATAAATATTTTTTGTAGGGTTGAAGTTTATTAAGTTTGAATATACAAGTTGAAACATATACTCATATTTCATCTGGAGTCGATTTGACTCGATTTCGCGAAAATTTGGCCAACTTTTCTTCTTATAGTTTTTATTATTTTTTAAGCATTTTGTAAAAGTTAAATTGATAAGAACTCGATGATTTTTTTTTTAATTTTATTTTTAAGGATATTTAAGTCTTACTTCTAACTTAATCCATTTTAAAGTGTGTCGATACATTAGTAGGAAATTTTTCCCAATAAAAGTTCAAATTAAAATTCGGGATATTATAAAAACTAATACCTAATAGACCTATCACACGTAATAGAAATTTCTCGTAGCTTGGTCTTCATTTTCACTAATTTCTAGATAAATAGTTGTGAATACACGTTTGTGAAAATATTAATATAATAAATAGGAAAGCATCCTTAGCCAATTACTTTCGAAGGAAGTTATGGAACTCCCTTCAGGATTAAACAGTAATTACAGCTGCACCAAAGGGGTATTATTGTACTTTTACAAAACCTAATTTCTCCACAAAACCCTAGGCTTCGGTTTTATAAATAGCACACTCCACTCACGCGGCTTTAAGCTTCACAATCTCAAAACTTCTTCCGCTTCTTCCCCAGAGGTACAATTCTTTTGCTTCCTCAACATTTCTGTAGTTTTTGATATGTGTTGATATTTTATGTAGTCGAGGCTTTGATATTCTGCTTTCTATTTGTCTAGTTTTCTGCAAATCAAATTAGTTTTCAATGCTTGTAATGAATTTTGAAGTTGAATGATCGATCTATTTTCTTCTCATTGAGATCTATTTACTTTTTGAAGAAATTTTCTCTTTGAATGCTCCTACGAGTGTTATCGGTGTTTAAAGGTTGTTTGTGAATTTGAGATTTTATTCCGAGTTTTTAATTAATTAAATATGATGTTAATCTTCGATCTTTCACTTCGAGTATTATGTAGATCGTTTCGTTCTGTATTTATTCGGTTTGTTGATCTCAAAGTCAAACATCAATCTTTTGTTGATCGTTTCAATCAATTTGTTTTTGAATGAATACTATACTAAAAAAATAAAAAATAAAAAGATAGTCGCGTTTTCAATGTAAGCTTTTATTTTTTGTCATCTGTTGTTTGTTGAAAATGTAATTGAATTCTAAAGTTGAAGCACTTGTGCAATATTATCGGGTTTTGATGGCTTTGTTTACATCTTATTCTTATTTAGTTTTTCCCATTCATGGTTTTGTTGATGCAGTTTTATTTATCTTAAGAGCTTAAGGACACTATGGGAAAAGAAAAGTTTCACATCAATTTTTTTTTGTATTTGTTTGTTAAAAGTTGAAGATTAGAATTGTATTGCTCCTTTCGTTGCTGATTGAAATTAATCTGTTTTGTAATTTGAATTATTGAGGCATTAATTGTTTCATGTTTTATGCTCAATGTTTCTCTTTCTTATTTCTGCAGTATAACTTTATCATAAAAGCAAGAAGACATGGGTAAAGAAAAGTTTCATATCAACATTGTGGTGATAGGCCACGTTGACAGTGGGAAGTCAACCACCACTGGACATCTTATCTACAAGCTTGGAGGTATTGATAAGCGTGTCATTGAGAGGTTTGAGAAGGAAGCGGCTGAAATGAACAAACGTTCATTCAAATATGCATGGGTGCTTGACAAGCTAAAGGCTGAGCGTGAGCGTGGTATTACCATTGATATTGCCCTGTGGAAGTTTGAGACTACCAAATACTACTGCACGGTCATTGATGCTCCTGGACATCGTGACTTTATAAAGAACATGATTACTGGTACTTCCCAGGCTGACTGTGCTGTTCTCATCATCGATTCCACCACTGGTGGTTTTGAGGCTGGTATCTCCAAGGATGGCCAGACCCGTGAGCATGCTCTTTTGGCTTTCACCCTTGGAGTGAAGCAAATGATCTGTTGCTGTAACAAGGTATAATTTGTTCTCATCTAAAGTTTGGTTATTGTTTCATAGTTATTCTTTTAAAAGTGATGCTTATGATATGCTTCTGTATGTTATCTGTAAGTCTACTTGTGTGGAAGTGATGCCTCTGAATTTACTTATCCTATGTTGATATGTCCTATGTTGACATGTCTTCTGGTAAATTAAGTAGGGGTTATCCTCCATCGTGTGATGTCAGATTATATGTACATTGGGATTGTAGATTAATTGTTTAAGAGCCCATCCTGTATGGTAGCTGCGGGTTCAAGCCCCGCCAATCCCAATTATGTTAGGAATGATTTGGTTATGTCTTACATGTTTCTTTTACAAAAGTGTATGTCTTTCATGCTGTTTATTTATGTATTCTTACAATGCAACAAATTGATTCTGTCTTCCATGTTTTTTGGCTATAAGTTGTGCAATAGTTTGATGAACAATCTTATTTATATTATTAAGAATGATAAAAAATGAAGTCAGCCTATTTTTTTTTTTTTTTTCTGTCACCTTATGAATTTGCCTAACTTCTTATGACTGCTTTGGTTGCTTACATGTTCTTTATTATAGATGGATGCTACCACACCCAAGTACTCCAAGTCAAGATACGATGAAATCGTGAAGGAAGTCTCTTCTTACTTGAAGAAGGTTGGTTACAACCCGGACAAAATTCCATTTGTTCCCATCTCTGGTTTTGAGGGTGACAACATGATTGAGAGGTCTACCAACCTTGACTGGTACAAGGGCCCAACTCTCCTTGAGGCTCTTGACCAGATCTCTGAACCCAAGAGGCCCTCAGACAAGCCCCTCCGTCTCCCACTTCAGGATGTCTACAAGATTGGTGGTATTGGTACTGTGCCAGTGGGAAGAGTTGAAACTGGTGTCATCAAGCCTGGTATGGTTGTTACCTTTGGTCCAACTGGTTTGACAACTGAGGTTAAGTCTGTCGAGATGCACCACGAGGCCCTTCTAGAAGCTCTCCCCGGTGACAATGTTGGGTTCAATGTGAAGAATGTTGCTGTTAAGGATCTGAAGCGTGGTTATGTTGCATCCAACTCAAAGGATGACCCTGCCAAGGGAGCTGCCAATTTCACATCACAGGTCATTATCATGAACCACCCTGGCCAGATCGGAAATGGATATGCCCCAGTTCTTGATTGCCATACCTCCCACATTGCTGTCAAGTTTGCTGAGATATTGACAAAGATTGACAGACGATCTGGTAAGGAGATTGAGAAGGAGCCCAAGTTTTTGAAGAATGGAGATGCTGGTATGGTTAAGATGATTCCAACCAAGCCTATGGTTGTTGAGACTTTCTCTGAGTACCCACCATTGGGACGATTTGCTGTGAGGGACATGCGTCAGACTGTTGCTGTTGGTGTTATCAAGAGCGTTGACAAGAAGGACCCATCTGGAGCCAAGGTCACCAAGGCAGCAGCAAAGAAGGGTGCCAAGTGAACTGTGGAGGGTTTCTACAATCACAAAGACATTATTTATGTTGGTCATGCAGTTTTGAGTTATCTATTTTGTCTTGTTGGATATTATTTTTATCTTATCTTCTGTCGACTTTTGTTTTCACCATGCTGTTATGGCTCCCAGAATTGGGTGCTTGATCGGCGGTGGCGTATTTGCATTTTCATTTAAAGACAATCTGTTTTTACCTTGTATGCTTTTAAAAATTTTATTTTCCTTGCGTTTTTATTCTATGGCAATTTACATCAGTGTTACATCTTGGTTGATTTTCTATTTGGTTGTGCTAGTTTTTAAATTAATTTTTTCTCTAGTTATTACTATATTGCCATTAGAACATTTAACTTTAATTGTTGAAAATCGTGTCAGACATGGTTAGTGACCTAAAATGAGTCCTGCTCAAATACACGGGTGCCTGTCATTAATAAGTGCTTTGCTTTCATTCATGCTTTGAGCCCTTGCAATTGAAAACCCTCCAAATTCCCTTTTTTTAAGACATTAAGTTGTAATCCTGATGTACCATCATCTCTAACTCTTGCTCCAAAACATTGAACTCTCGTTTTGACTTGTGAAGATTTAACCACGAAACAAGAAAATTGGGTGGATCAACTCCTGTAGTTAATAGCACTCCCCCATTTGGACCTAACGACCCAAAGGTTTTCAACCTGCTTTTCGAAATTTAAAATTCTTCTATCAATGTCCTATGTACCCATTATAATAATTGGTCCTAGATTTGTTTTGCGCATAATCTTGAAGTTTGGATATTGGAATTGAGTGGTACCCTGATTATTATTTTACTATAATGAAAGCTAAGTATTTAATCACTAATTAACAAAAGTTTCAGATAGGAAAGCTTGCGAAATTAGTCATGTGACTATTAACTCGCTGGTATTTATCCAATATTTATTTCCTTGATTGCAGCGACAAAATCACTAATTCGCTCTAATGTTTGGGATGTTTCTTGATCTCTAGAATATTATGATTCAAAGAACATCATCAAATTCTTAACTTTTCATTAACTTCTTGGGGAAAATCTCAGTATAACAGAATTCATTGGACAAAGTTGCAAAAAACATCCCTTATAGGTCCACAATTTTAGGGCTATTTATACTCTCACTCGCAAAAAACGTCCCTTAACTTTCACCGGATTTCAATTGCGGGACACTTTATACTTCGACAAGCAAACGAGATCCCTTAACTTTTACAGGTAAGCAATTTCGGGACAACTTATACTCCGACAAGCAAATACGCCCTAAACTTTTTTTTCCCCCTGATATATTTGTGTATTTACAGTTCGGACCGAATAGTGCATTGAGAATATGTCATCTCTAGTATGGTGTCTCTAGTAAGATTTGAACTCAAGTTTCATCTCTAGGGTTCCATTAACTTTTACTAGTCCTTAGGGTGTACGTGGATGGGTTTTGACCCGGTCCCGCGGGTTTCGCGAGACCTAACCAAAACCTTTTCAAATGAGTTTTCGCCGAACTCATAAAATCATCAAAAACCTATTCAGAAACTCACTCTCAAACTCTTCAAACCTATAAAATATTGATTTGACACCTACCACCTACTTTTGCCCCTAAACTCAAACATTCAAACTCAATCCAAGTGGGGTTTCAACTTATTCAAACCACAAAACCCAACAACCAAAACTCATCCAAATGAGGTCTCAAAGGTTTCATCGAAACCACCCAAACCAATTTTTTTAAACCGAGCCAAAACTCATCCAAATTTAATTTTTTTACTTTTATAATACTTCAAGAAAAATAGGCAAAAAATCAATAATAGTCCTTTAACTTTGGCAGGGAACCTAAAATGGGATATTTGTAGTTCCGGTAAGCAATTTACATTCTTTATGTTTAAGTTCCTGTAATTTTGGCCATCTTAACCTGCAATTTTAGTCCTAAGTTCGTCGAAATTCAAATTTAATGTCCATAAATTTCTACATAAGCAAACAAATTGAGGATTATAACATTTTTACCCAAATAATTAGGGGTGCACATGATTTTTAAAACCGTACCGGACCGTCCCATATCGTACCAAAATTTTGGTTTTTTAATTCTCAAAACAGAAGGTTTTGATATGGATGAAAATCGTACCGAATATTTTGAGCAAAAGACAAAAACACCCCCGTGCTTTGTCTAACTCCCAAAAACCCCCCTGTGTTATTTTAACTCCCAAAAACCCCCATGTGTTTGGTTTTAAATACCACACTCGATCTAAGTAGTATATACTTATAATTTTATTTTTGACTTTTGGTGGAATGACAAGATTACCCCTATGTGTTTGTTTTTTTTTAAATTTATTTATTCTTTTTGAAAAATTAAGTATATACTACTTGGGTCGAGTGTGGTATTTAAAATCAAACACAGGGGGATTTTGGGGATATAAAATGACACATGGGGGGTTTTTGTTTTTCGATGTCAGGGGTAAAATTATCATATCAAAAGTAAAATGTGAAGAAATACTTGCAATTTTTGCGTTTGAAACACGCTCTCTTTTTGGGGGGTGTATTTGGCACTTATTTGAGATCACATGGAGTTTTTTGGAAGTTAAAATAACACAGGGGAGTTTTTGGGAGTTATATAAAGCATAGGGGTGTTTTTGTCTTTTGCTCGAATATTTTGGTATGCTTTTGGTTAGACTTCTCATACCATAAAAATCATATTGTACCGAAATTGAGAAGAAACATCAAATTATTATTCATTTTTTCATATTTACAACTAAATTTTATGACTTTATAATTCAAATATTCCGAACACGATATTATTTATAACTTATATTATAGTCCATTATTTATTGTTACTACATCGCTCGCGTTCAACTAAAAAATGATATGCTCGATACAACTTAAATTTGTTATATGTTGAATACTTAAAATGCAAAAAAAATCTGGACAATAAATATTAAACAATAAGTTCATTCACAGAAAAAAAAAAAACAATGATAAAATAATTAACCAATTAATTTTATTCAATTAGGTCGCATTTTGTCATATTTGTGAACATTTTATTTTCAACTATGTAATTGACTATATAGGGAAAATTACATGAAACAAATTGTTTAAAAAAATCGCAAAACCGTATTGTATCGTATCAGAACCACACAAAAACGAGTTTGTAGGTATGGTTTATAAAACTCTAGTTTGGTTTTGAGTTTTTTAAAACCGCAATAATGGTATGGTACAAATTTGTTTAAAAAATCGCAGAATCGTAACTTGTCCACAATAATAATAAGCAGGGAGGGAAAGAAATGAAAGAAAATAAGGTGTTATTTTTCCTCAAGTTTAAGGTAATTTGACAAGGTGATATGGTGGATTATCACCGCGTGGCAGCCAGAAGAACGAATACCTCCAATTTATTTGTTTGCATAGCAATTAAGACACTAATTTAAATTCCGACGAATTTAGGACTAAAATTACGACATCTTAAAACATAAATAATGTAAATTATTTGTCGGAACTACATGTGTCCCATTTTCGCATCTCTACAAAAATTAAAGGACTAAATTTTTTTTCCTATCAGAAATATACGCTATTCATATTATTTAGTGCAACTGCTGAACCACGTCATCTAGTACACGTAGTGCACCCCACCAATGCACTTGTGACATATGGAGTGATAATCTTCATCAACCATGTTCCAAAAAAAATAGGATTTAAAAAAAATTGTTCACATTGTCTAGAACATAAGATGATATGGATTATTACTCCCATGTCACAAGCGCATTGGAGAGCTTCACCACGTATACTTGATAATTTAGTGCACTACATATTTTCTCCTTCATTCTAGGGACTTTGTACTAAATTTGTCAGGAAAA